ATATAGTTTTTAGGAAGTTATATTCGCTGAGGGAATTGAATCATTGGTGTGAATGCATAAAATAATAATAGTGTAAAATGCAGTTAAACTGTTTGGTATCATAATCATAGTTAAATACCAAGTAGCAAAACAATTAATGTCACATATAGAATAATTCATAGGATGTATAGAACTCTGAAGGGGTGTGCAATTATAGGATTAGTAGGCAAATCGAATAAAATAAAAACGTTACGTAATATTGTGTGAGATTTGATAACATAGAATATTAATGTTGCGAAACAGAATTGATTTAGAATGACAAGTGGAACAAGTGAAATAATACCGGGGACATTTCAGAATGAGAATACTAATAGTAACAATTGACGTAATAAAGGAAGAGTAGACAAACTGAATAGACAAAATGAAAAAATTGGTAGCGTCAAAATAGGATTAGAGATTACCATACTTCAGCATAGAGGGATTAAGACCATGAAAGTTGGAGGGGTTGAACGAACTTCTTCTGTACGCAGAGATCTGGCTTTTCTGTTTCGATAGCCAAAGCTTCAGCAATACAGATGAGTCGGGTACGTAGTGATTTCGGTAAATTACTTTTTGCCTTGTAGATGACCTTAAAGGCGGAGGCTATACAGATGGGGTGATCATTATCGAACAGACGTTCAATGACGGTGCTTCTTATTGCTCCACTTCCACCTATTCGTAACCATCACTATTCTCCCTTTGAACTGTCGCCGGTATTATTTCACTTGTCATTCTAAATCAATTCTGTTTCGCAACATTAATATTCTATGTTATCAAATTTCACACAATATTACGTAACGTTTTCATTTTATTCGATTTGCCTACTAATCCTATAATTGCACACCCCTTCCGAGTTCTATACATCCTATGAATTATTCTATATTTGACATTAATTGTTTTGCTACTTGGCATTTAACTATGATTATGATCACAAACAGTTTAACTGCATTTTATACTATTATTATTATTTTATGCATTCACACCTATAATACAATTCCCTCACTGGATATAACTTCTTAAGAACTATGTATATATACATATATATATATATACGATTGACAGCTTGATAATAAATTTGTTGAAAAGAGTCTCTTCGCTGAATCCCTTGTTTCCATTTTCTATATTTTACAATAGGAATTTTCCATGAATTTCAGAATTAGTGAAAATCAAGTGTTATGATAAATGAGAGATAATATCATATAGCTCTCAACTCTTCACAGTTTACAGAAGTTTATCTAGATAGTGTAAAGTGTTGTTGTTATTATTATTAGGCATAGTACGAACAGATAATATCCTTCAAAGCTATCTGAATTCACCGGGCAAATTAATCTCTTTCATAGTATTTAATTTACAGACATTATTCGATAAAAACTTCAAATTTCACATACTTCAAACTGTTGAAATCAAATTCTAACCAATAAATTATTCTGCCCGGTGAGATACAAACGAACGCTGGTGAAAACGCTTTTCTCTAGAGCGAAGAGAATATGTTCACCAAACAAACTAGACAGTGAACTAATGTTTCTTGAAAAATGCTTGAAAGAAAATGGTTACCCACAAAGTTTCATTAACAAATATGGCAAGAACGAACTCAAGAAGCTTGATACTGCTACAGTCAGTAAGAAGCCTATTTTCATCAAACTCGACTACAAGGGCGACGACATTATGAGAATGATAAATAAAAGATTAAGCGCAGCCCTGTCTAGGACGTATCCTGCAGCGTTATTAGTCTCTCTATCCCGAACAACCTCTTCACTGGTGCAGTCAAAGATTGACAAGTACCCCTCATATGTTACTTCCAACTGTGTATACCAATTCACATGTATCTGCGGGAGCAGTTACATTGGAAGAACAGAGAGGAGGGCCTACGTCAGATTCCGCGAATATGTACCAAGGAGCCTCCGGTTAAAGGGACCGAATTATTTAAGCTCTTCAATCGCCAAACTCCTGATTGACATAGGACACCGAGTAGATGTGCTGGAATCATTCAAAATAATTAACAGACAAAGTACCTCAAGTCTTCTCAGGTTTGCTGAAGCTAAAGCAATAAAACGATTTAAGGCTGACTTATGTGTCCAAAAAGAATCCGTCGTTGGACTTCAATTACCCTGGTAACTGACTTCTTAGTAACTCTTTGTTTTCTTATTTTGTTAACTTATCTTTTCACTCCACCCCTCCCCTTTATGTTTCGCTTGACTCTCTTAAGAGATAATTTTTCTTGATCTTCTGAGTTCTGCTCACTGTATTACATCATCAACTTCTCATCTGACCTCATGTGTACCGTAATTTAAAATTTTGATCTTCCCTTATCTAATTACTTAACTATTGCTAATTGTCTTTTCTTACCACCTTAACAACACAACTGTTAACTAATTTTTTTCAAGAAACTTCTCTCTACCAAGATATATATATACATGTCGTGATACTTTAGACGCCCTGTAAATCTCAATGCCTTATTTTACTATGACGCTCTGACACTATGCTTGCTAATGGACAAAGGTTTGTTTAAAAAAATTGTACACTATTTATTTTTAATAATAAAAATTCAGGTTGTACGCAGCTGATGAGAACCAACGAAATAAAATGGATCCAGATTATTCTGCGCCAGTGTTTCTTCTTTCTTTGTTCAAATAAATTATTCAACTGATATAATTATTCAGTTGATATAAATCACTTTGTGATCAATCCTGTGACCAGTTTAAATCCCTGGAAATCAACACTTGACGATATAAGTAAACGTTTGCATTCTGTTTGTTCTCTAGACAAATTTTATACAGAACCAATTATTAATGAGCTATGCCTTTGACTAGAACTAGTTTTACAAGGTTTTGTTTATTGATGATTAACACAGTGATAATTTTCTTCTTCAAAGGTGTACTTTACACGGATTAATTTAATCTCGGTGTATATATGGATTTACAAACAGTACAGAGTGAGAAAGAAGTTACTGCAAAATATTCTTGTTTTTATTTTCAGTTGCTAAACAGTGATTAGTTATGTAGTAGTAAGCATCTACTGAAACAAAACCAACCATTTCATCAATAATAAATGAGATTAATTGTCAAAACTACTATTCACTCATTATTATTATTACTACTTAAAGTTTCATTTTAAATATCCCATACAATTGCACTTCGTAGTCAATCACTAACCATCATTGAATAGCAACACTTATTTTGCGAAATCTATTACATTTGAAACAACAACTCTTTAGCCAGATGAAAGATATGTTATTATTCAAGTATTGGTTTTGTTTCATTGGTTGGAGGATTTCATCCTGAGCTGACATCAGTTAGAGAACTATTGGAAGACCTGGGAGTACTGGACAGCTGTTTCGTCAATCTATTTTGGGACTCTTCATCAGTACGCACTATTATTTTATTTTAAATGAGTTGAATGGTTTACACGGGGCACACCTATCCAGATAGCATGGAAATTCAACCGATATTAAAGTTCAGTGAAGATGTGACAGTAAATAACGCGCTAGTAAATTTTACGCTGTCATTCGAGGAACTCCAATTTCGACTTGCAAATGTCAATGAAGATTCCATATAATAAAAAGTCAGCACCATCCAGAAGGGCTCCTTAAGATATTACTATATTTAGAGCCTTCTTTGAATGCGAAAATAGCATCAGGTACTTATTCATTGCAATGTACAACCTTGCACTTAAGTGCAGCAGTTCAAGGCCTGAACCAACAGTCAGACTTCTGAGATTGGTGGCATGTTTTTAATCGACTACTCCCAATTCCTTCCCAAAGTAATACTGTCAGGTAACATTTCTCGACAAGGAATGCAATAGCTTCGCATACCTGATGAGTTCCGTGTGTCCAATCGACGCACCTTGACTTATGTTCCTTAACCACCTACCACCACAACCAACCTCAATATAAATCGCCACATAATACGAATCATTCGTTTCGTAAAGGACGTGGAGGATAGGCTACCACTGTTGGTCTCACCAATCAATACCTATCAGTTCACCTGCTCCTATGTAGTTATGTATGTCACCCTTAGTCAGAATGTTATCCAGACGTAACATCAAACATTCGACCTAAGGGTTCCATTCGAGGAAAAAAGATCCCCACACTGCCCTCTACTGGAATACTTGATCGACTCTAGATACCGAGCGAATCCTTAGACGGACTTCAGTGATACCTGCATAACACGTGATCTTGCCAGAGCAGTACGAATCACACTTCTTCAAACCACAGGAGCAATGGAAATCCATTTACTGAATCCTGAACACTACAGACAGTTTATTCAGTCAGTGAACATTCAATGGGCCTAATTTGTTTTGATAATTGAGTTAAGCTTATGCTAAGCTTAATTTCTTTTATCATATTCCACTCTTCATTGAGTTCTATAATCCTTTACGGATGTGAAGAACACCAAGTAATTATAAGAACACTAATCACCATGCACTCGACAGTAGGCGAGACGTTAAATACACAAATGAGTTTACTTAGATGAGAATCTCTATTGGTTGAGATGTATATACACACCCATATCATCCTACTCAGGCTTAAATATAAACAGAGAACCTATATATGAAATTAAGCAGGGCTACATTCTGCTAGTCTTTTATATGAAATAAACGGGTCAGTAACTCAATAATTCCATTTCCTATTAAATGCAAGTTGGTCCGCCGCTGAATTACATTCCGTTTAGTAACAGCCCGGATCGGTGCACCCTCATAGTTCACACTTCCCAAATCTCCCAATCTAATTACTTTATCTAGACTACACGAATTGATCAATGACTACGTCACTTTATTCTAATGAATTCGACAAAAAACAAACACGAGAAATTAGAGATAATGAATTATTCGATAACACAGCAATCAAAATAAGTGTAGTCTTGATAAGTCACTTTCGTAATTCTGCAAAAATCATCCTTGTGAACATTCCACAGAAGACCGCATTCCAACCATAGTGAACGGCCATAAGGCAACCTGCGCCAACCGCAGGTTGGACTGGTTTGTCAGTAATCATCAAGATTGAAATCATCTTCGAAATCAACATCACCACCCGCCAAGTGGTTGAAGTCTACTTGGTAGCGCAAAATACCTGCAAAATTAAATAAAACAACCAACCATAAATGTCAATAAACTTCTCAGAAGTACTGAGGTTACTACCTCACAATAAGACAGTGACCGAGTTATGAGATAACATCAACATTTTCAATCGCATTCAGTGGGAGTCAGTAAGTGAACATCTAGTTACCATTCTCAATTGAGAAGTGATCAATAACGAGAAATTTGCGAACCCACCTAGGATACTACTTGTTTCAGGACTTCAAACAAACCTTCTTCGAATCCCGTTATCACATAAGTCAAGGCACCGGGGAGTTTGTTTTCCATTACTTTCCTTTACAGCAGCTGAATTAACAAGTCAGCAAATGTTTACAGTACAGTTATTCTCGTCTCATTAACCATTACCACTTTTATTCATCTTGGAATGCTGTAATTGTGATGACAGAGAAAAAGACACCTGCGTCGACTGGCTTTACAGCTTCGTTCTGTTTTTACCCAACACTAACTTTAACTGTGAATGTCTTCATTCTATAATTTACACAAGGGCCATAATAAGAGGTAAACACGTTACCAACTGTGAAATGACAGCTTATCGAACGACTACTTCATTAACCAACGAAGTAGTACAGACAGTGCATTTAAGAACATAGGCATGCCAAGTTACTCGCATAGGCATTTATAACGTCCAATCTCACCAATCATCTTGAGAATAATAATCTTCCTAGTTAAGAATTTCCGTATACGTTTGGTGATGACAACGACTATACGCCGCAGTCCATATAAGTGCGTCCCTACATTGAAAAATGTTCAAACAAATGATCACTAGTACCAACAAGCACATGTGCAACACGCCGCTAAATATTGAAGCTATACATCTACTGAGTGTCTATCATCCAGTACATCAACAGTATTTTTTGCAAAGCAAGATCGTACCTGAAAAATTTGAAAACTTTTATTTGTACGTGCATATACATATATGTATGTATGTCAATGTGCAAACAAGAAGTAGCAAACTTACCACCAATGCCACCAAAACCACGGACAAACTGAGCTCCTTCCTGCGACTTATCCGTGACTATTTCTAACGTAGTCCCAAATGACCGATAATTGAGCGCCAGCCAGTCCAAGAGAAGTTGAGTGTCGAGGATTTCTAGGTCAGAACCTGTTTCAGGATCGATAAAATGTCGACGATCTGTTTCCTGGTCAGGTCGAAGGTGAATAACCCGGTTCTCTGAAAGGAAGAAGCACATATAAACTTGGCCGAGACTGAATGTCGGACCACGCCTTTATACAGCAGCTCATCTCTGAGGTGTGCATCAAGAATGGTCTAAACTTTGCTATACGTCACTTGTACTGCCTGCCAGCAACTTCTAGCTAACAGGATAATGCAGTGACGAGATTTAATTCTGTGTGAACTATAGAGTGACGTACCGAGACCTCAAGGTACGGCTCACAATTATGTTCAAGACGGCATTAGTCTCAATTCCCTTAAGAAAGAGACTCAGTACCACCTGTTATTAATATGTGTCACTGAGGTTGTAAGTGCACTTATTCACCAACAACTACGTATTACTCGTATATCTTGTGTATAGGCTTAAGGCTCCACAGCAGTATACAGGACGATAACCATCTCAAAACCTGCATATTGTTATCCGTAAATCTCACTAATCACAGAGTACTACACCTTGTTCAATAGCACAGACTAAGTCTTCCAATGACACCATAGTATATTCTCAATCTTAAAAATCCACGAAGTACACTTTTTCGTCCCATGTTTTGGAGATGTCCACAGAAGAATTTCGACGTGGTAATGTCAATGAAGATTCCATATAATAAAAAGTCAGCACCATCCAGAAGGGCTCCTTAAGATATTACTATATTTAGAGCCTTCTTTGAATGCGAAAATAGCATCAGGTACTTATTCATTGCAATGTACAACCTTGCACTTAAGTGCAGCAGTTCAAGGCCTGAACCAACAGTCAGACTTCTGAGATTGGTGGCATGTTTTTAATCGACTACTCCCAATTCCTTCCCAAAGTAATACTGTCAGGTAACATTTCTCGACAAGGAATGCAATAGCTTCGCATACCTGATGAGTTCCGTGTGTCCAATCGACGCACCTTGACTTATGTTCCTTAACCACCTACCACCACAACCAACCTCAATATAAATCGCCACATAATACGAATCATTCGTTTCGTAAAGGACGTGGAGGATAGGCTACCACTGTTGGTCTCACCAATCAATACCTATCAGTTCACCTGCTCCTATGTAGTTATGTATGTCACCCTTAGTCAGAATGTTATCCAGACGTAACATCAAACATTCGACCTAAGGGTTCCATTCGAGGAAAAAAGATCCCCACACTGCCCTCTACTGGAATACTTGATCGACTCTAGATACCGAGCGAATCCTTAGACGGACTTCAGTGATACCTGCATAACACGTGATCTTGCCAGAGCAGTACGAATCACACTTCTTCAAACCACAGGAGCAATGGAAATCCATTTACTGAATCCTGAACACTACAGACAGTTTATTCAGTCAGTGAACATTCAATGGGCCTAATTTGTTTTGATAATTGAGTTAAGCTTATGCTAAGCTTAATTTCTTTTATCATATTCCACTCTTCATTGAGTTCTATAATCCTTTACGGATGTGAAGAACACCAAGTAATTATAAGAACACTAATCACCATGCACTCGACAGTAGGCGAGACGTTAAATACACAAATGAGTTTACTTAGATGAGAATCTCTATTGGTTGAGATGTATATACACACCCATATCATCCTACTCAGGCTTAAATATAAACAGAGAACCTATATATGAAATTAAGCAGGGCTACATTCTGCTAGTCTTTTATATGAAATAAACGGGTCAGTAACTCAATAATTCCATTTCCTATTAAATGCAAGTTGGTCCGCCGCTGAATTACATTCCGTTTAGTAACAGCCCGGATCGGTGCACCCTCATAGTTCACACTTCCCAAATCTCCCAATCTAATTACTTTATCTAGACTACACGAATTGATCAATGACTACGTCACTTTATTCTAATGAATTCGACAAAAAACAAACACGAGAAATTAGAGATAATGAATTATTCGATAACACAGCAATCAAAATAAGTGTAGTCTTGATAAGTCACTTTCGTAATTCTGCAAAAATCATCCTTGTGAACATTCCACAGAAGACCGCATTCCAACCATAGTGAACGGCCATAAGGCAACCTGCGCCAACCGCAGGTTGGACTGGTTTGTCAGTAATCATCAAGATTGAAATCATCTTCGAAATCAACATCACCACCCGCCAAGTGGTTGAAGTCTACTTGGTAGCGCAAAATACCTGCAAAATTAAATAAAACAACCAACCATAAATGTCAATAAACTTCTCAGAAGTACTGAGGTTACTACCTCACAATAAGACAGTGACCGAGTTATGAGATAACATCAACATTTTCAATCGCATTCAGTGGGAGTCAGTAAGTGAACATCTAGTTACCATTCTCAATTGAGAAGTGATCAATAACGAGAAATTTGCGAACCCACCTAGGATACTACTTGTTTCAGGACTTCAAACAAACCTTCTTCGAATCCCGTTATCACATAAGTCAAGGCACCGGGGAGTTTGTTTTCCATTACTTTCCTTTACAGCAGCTGAATTAACAAGTCAGCAAATGTTTACAGTACAGTTATTCTCGTCTCATTAACCATTACCACTTTTATTCATCTTGGAATGCTGTAATTGTGATGACAGAGAAAAAGACACCTGCGTCGACTGGCTTTACAGCTTCGTTCTGTTTTTACCCAACACTAACTTTAACTGTGAATGTCTTCATTCTATAATTTACACAAGGGCCATAATAAGAGGTAAACACGTTACCAACTGTGAAATGACAGCTTATCGAACGACTACTTCATTAACCAACGAAGTAGTACAGACAGTGCATTTAAGAACATAGGCATGCCAAGTTACTCGCATAGGCATTTATAACGTCCAATCTCACCAATCATCTTGAGAATAATAATCTTCCTAGTTAAGAATTTCCGTATACGTTTGGTGATGACAACGACTATACGCCGCAGTCCATATAAGTGCGTCCCTACATTGAAAAATGTTCAAACAAATGATCACTAGTACCAACAAGCACATGTGCAACACGCCGCTAAATATTGAAGCTATACATCTACTGAGTGTCTATCATCCAGTACATCAACAGTATTTTTTGCAAAGCAAGATCGTACCTGAAAAATTTGAAAACTTTTATTTGTACGTGCATATACATATATGTATGTATGTCAATGTGCAAACAAGAAGTAGCAAACTTACCACCAATGCCACCAAAACCACGGACAAACTGAGCTCCTTCCTGCGACTTATCCGTGACTATTTCTAACGTAGTCCCAAATGACCGATAATTGAGCGCCAGCCAGTCCAAGAGAAGTTGAGTGTCGAGGATTTCTAGGTCAGAACCTGTTTCAGGATCGATAAAATGTCGACGATCTGTTTCCTGGTCAGGTCGAAGGTGAATAACCCGGTTCTCTGAAAGGAAGAAGCACATATAAACTTGGCCGAGACTGAATGTCGGACCACGCCTTTATACAGCAGCTCATCTCTGAGGTGTGCATCAAGAATGGTCTAAACTTTGCTATACGTCACTTGTACTGCCTGCCAGCAACTTCTAGCTAACAGGATAATGCAGTGACGAGATTTAATTCTGTGTGAACTATAGAGTGACGTACCGAGACCTCAAGGTACGGCTCACAATTATGTTCAAGACGGCATTAGTCTCAATTCCCTTAAGAAAGAGACTCAGTACCACCTATTATTAATGTGTCACTGAGGTTTTAAGTGTACACTAGGAAATACATCAGACGTCGATTATTATATGTGAAGGGAAATTGCATAGTGACTTACCTTCTGAATTGGGCATTTTGAGAACATAGCGATTGACACTTAGATTTTCCCAGACGATTAGAGTCTCAACGGCTCCCATCTCCAGAGATTTAAGTGTATCATCGACGCCGAAACAGTACTTGCCACTGTCCTGTAAAGTGTTTAAAGGAACGTAACATTACATACCTGTGAAATCTCATCAAAATATCTTTGAATAAGCTTTTTTTCTTGGATGAACTTGACGCCTGTTAATGCATCCGTTGCCAGTTCAATAGCCTGATTGAATCCTGTTTCACCGCCGTAAGAAATGTCAACTATCTTTATCAATTTCGCTTGCAGCCTCTGGAAGGTAAGTTATGATTACTTATCAGCGCACCTGGTCAAACATATCGGACTGCCCTAAATCGCTTTTGAAATCTGCTATGCCGGCCAAAATAAGTCCCTCAATATTTGGACGGTCGTTTGTAATGAAAAGCTGGGTGGCTGTCTCTGCAACCTTTCGGACATAGTTGTGCCGTTTTTCCATTCGCAGACGTGCAAAACGAAGCGCAGATTGACCTCCCCGTCCATGTTTTTTCGGCAACTCCACAGTGAACTTGTGCAGGACTTCCCGGGTGTTTCCCGACAAGGTTCCAAATAACGCACCGTTACCGTCAACGACAATAAAGCCGAACTTGCTGTCGTCCGCCAGGAGAGCTACCAGAGCCTATCCTCCGTTAATGTGAGGAATATATACAAACCTCTGTATGGAACTTATTATCACACAAGTACAGAGAAGTGTTAACCGGTCTGAAGGGCTCAAAGTCAATATTAACTTTCTTTTCTTTGCCATCCTCAGTAACTATTGTACCGCAATAAACAACAAGCCCATTTGTGGGAACTGCATACCACTCAAACGAGAGAAAGAAGTCACTTACCCTTTGTGTACAGTTTCAGTCTTTGTTGTACTGACGTTATGGCACTCAAAACAGACAGCCGATTTACTCTACTCTTGATATTGGAAGCTGTTCCGTACTCCTCAGCTAATAGTTTCGCAACTCTTGTCACCTGATCCTTCGGAGGGATGATGAGCGAAATCATACTCGTTCCATTACTACCCCGTAAGACCTAGTATTACAACTCACCCTCTGGCAGATTCCAAACTTTTGATCAGCTTTTTGATACGCCACATCTCAACATTTTTATCTGCTTGAGATATCTCCGTTCCACCGTTAGTTGACGCCATTACAATCTCAGTGAAGTAAAGTAACAAAGTACACCTCGTGGTCAAACCACAATTACGAAGTAAAACAAAACTTGTTGCGAATACGTTCAAGTGTTCATGACAGTTAGGAAATTTCCAACCCGTATTCG